AAACGATCACACGCTTCATTGCCATTCTCGGGCGGTGTTTACGGAAAGCGAGTTGAGTGGGTGCCCTTCACTGGGGGTGTTTATGGGAAAAGGACACGTACTCCACTACAAGGTTCACTGTCGCTTATCAATTCAATGCAAACTCTCTTGCACTTTATTGCTCAATCTCATTTAAACATCATCTACAATAATTGCCGTATGAACATATCCAATTTGAATCTATACGTAACATCATTCATTACAAAATCCAATAGAAAAATGTTCAGATGAAATTTGTGTTCGACACATTTTTGCGATTTTTCACATTTAACGAGAAAAATCGCAAAAGTATCGAGCACAGGTTCACTTGAAAAAAAAAGTCGAACAATCCCACAACCGCATCGCGGTCGCAGCTAATTTATTCAGTGAATTTGATATAATTGCAATATTTCGCAACGGATAAAATTGCTTCGAAATGAACATTCACGACTAATTGTCATCTGATGAAGTGATGACCATTAGCTCATTTGATTTGGCTCGTTGTGAAACTATCAACATTCGACAAAAACTTCACGGAATCTAACACTCGCTCAGCAATTCCCTAGATTCATCTCTTAATTGCTGATATCATTTGTCGATAAAGAAATGGTAAATAGAGTGTATCATGAGGTGCAATCTCATATACTTGCACGAATGATCTGTCGGCATTTATTGTGTTTCATGCAGGGTTTGTTTCCAACGACTCAACGAATGAGTATCCGCTCGATAAGAAGATAAGAATCGTTTCAGGTGGCATTTACGGTAAACGAACCATGATTCCGCTCTCAGGTGGCCTGTATGGTAAAAGATCTCGAGCAGCTTTTATCGACACCAACAGACGTCGTCTCAGTTTGCGTTCCATTCCAATGAGTGGAGGTTTCTTCGGATGATGACATAGGAAGACATAATTGATCGATCGCGTGATTTCAACACTTAATGTTTCTTTGAAATACATTTTTATGTTTCATTCATATTGTAACAATAGCAAACAATACAGTGATTTTCAATAGAATAATATTGTCTACATAAATGTAGGTATTCGCCGACGTACGAAGATAATTGGGACCGAGAGCTTAGAAGTAAGTCAGATTTGGTCATAAGTCTGACCACAAATATGATCTGCCACAAAACATTCATCTTTGTAAGGCAATTGATATGGAATTACTCAGTAATTAATAATACCCTGAAGCTTGGTTCAGTAACGCATTTCGTTTCAACGGTTTGCTCGTAAAGCATGAAGTAATCATCCACTCTACCTTAATATAAACATTCGAATAACATGTAAAAANAAACGCTCTTTATCTTTGGTAAAATTATAAAAAAAGTGGGATGTGACAATTTGAGATCACTTGAGATTAGCGATAAGTTTTAGCCACCTTCATTCTGCGCAATCACTTTTATTGCCAATTCGAGACTAACGACCTTGTTGTTGTTCCTTGGCTTTATGTAGGCATGGCGATATTGTTCTTTCGATTGACGTAGTAATGCAAACTGATTAACGTTGAACTTTTAATGGGGAGTGAGTAAATTGGCTCATATGTTGAAATACACACGTCCACCACGCAATCTCGTATGTAATGAAATCACATTAGTTAATACAGCTATGGGATAGCACTATGGCGATTCTGAGAACGATAAGTATTGATAGGACTCATGGAGCGATAAGCTTTCATTGTATCCATGCATTTAAGGATGTCATTGGGGTGAAATCGGCTAACAGTTCAGTTGAATCGGAAACAGTTTTGCTGAATAAGATGTTCTTTCTGACCGTTTTTAGCAAAAGAAATTTTTGTACCTCTTCGTCGTAAGTACGACCCGTCATAAGTCCAACGCAAGTCGGCGAATACTTGTACATCAATATTCTCTTTAGCATTACACAAACGGTTTGGAAACAAGTAAGCATTCATAGAAAATACGAAAAAGAAACGTTTTGCAATGGTAACTGCAGAGGACAAAGTGCCGAATAACTGAGAATTTTGGATGAATTCTGAAATTTTGATGGTGATTGTGATCATTTGGTAACAATTAAGTTACTCATATTTAGAAATTATATCATGCTTATTCAGCTAACTGCAATAAATATTTCCTAATCTGGAAATCCCCTACTTCAAGCTACCAAGTCTTTTGGAAATAAAAGGTCGCAGATAGATTTTTATTGTTCAATTTTTTGATCAATTATTCAGACTGAATGAAGATTGTATGACTTCTTTGTGACCTTCTCGACGTTAAGTAACAATGGTTGGATTGTTATGAAATCATCTGAACAATTCAAAATCATTCAGTTTTGAATGCTTATCGCATGTATGCATGCGTGTGACTGCTTTCTCTGATATCATTATCGTTCCATCGGTGTCCACATCACTTGTTCAAAAATCAATCTGATAAACGTTCATTCAAATGTTCTGCACGGATATTTCATCGATTCTAGTTTATCGCTAATAAACGAATCAGTGAAAACGTTTCGTTTTCAAAGCACTGCATCGTTCCAATGAATTCATCTGCAGCGTCAACCTCATTACGAACGCAATCATTCATTCCATTGTAAAATGATGTATCTTTTGAGTTCGAAAGTGATTTTCGAACTTTATCATTTATCCAAATGATATCATATACAGTTTCATAATATTAGTTGAACACGTCTTTCTGAAAATCAAGAACGCGATTTTCTGTGATGACCGATCAATTCGTACGATTCCACCAACCTAGTCTTACTAATAAATCTCTCTGCTACCTAATTCTTTTCACCTTCCAATGTATCTCAATGATTGATGCGGATGTTCAGAATAAATATTTATTATGGCATCTTTCACGCTGAAACCTTTCAATTACAATGTTACGTTCAATGCGTAAAATATATTTAAAGGTTCATGCGATCATATGCAAAACGACCAAAATATGGGGAAGACCAAACAGCGATGCTTCACTATATAATGTGATAAAAATAGAAATGCAATTACTTTACTGGAATTTAACAGCAAAATTCTTCGGATTCATAAAAATTTCGCCTAAGGATTCCAATCGTTGCAAAAAGTGGCCCTACCCAAATGCAATCTATGGTCAAGTAGTACATTCTATATCAGTAGTTCTCATAGGAGGTGAAATTACCTGTTTTGAGTAATTTGGAGTTGTCAAGGGGTAATGGAGGGGTTGGGAAATTAGTATTTTGTGCAGTTATTATTATATGATAGAAA